GTTAAGTATGAAAAAAGATGATGCATCAACACTATCAATTTCCTTTACAATCTTAAACACCTCAATCAGATCCTCCCTAACTCTACTTTTTTCAAGAGAAAACAATTTGAGAGATTTCAAACTCTCCTCGTATGACAACCCCTGGCAACATTCTAGTAACTCTCCTCGTATGACAACCCCAGGCAACATTCTAGTAACTCTTCTCTGAACCCTTTCCATATTTCTTACCTATTAATGTATTACTTTGGTATTTACACTTGAATAAAGCCAGGATAAATTTTTTCATGGATAAGTAATATCCAACTCGTGAAACTGCACTCAAATGCTACTTAGTTCACCAATAGCACGAAGTTGGACAATTTCAGTCCGGACATTAGATTCATTATAAAACTGATGAACAAAAACCCACAAGTCTTTGAGAGATTTTAAGTATAACAAAATGTTCCACTAGTCTCACTCTTGATCTAAAACTTTTTTAATTTGTTATAATGAACAAACATAAGTTTTACCATGTTTGGTACTACGTACCTGCAGGTTACATCAGATCTGAAAGATGAGAAACCCGATAAAGTGGAATATGCCATCGCAAAATATTTACGACAGGAGCTTCCGGTTAAGAAGACGTCTCTTTTGAGTCATAAAGTTGAATATTTTATTGGTGAGTAAGTTACAGGTATGAATATATTACACTTTTATTGTATTAGACACTTTGTTGTAGGTAAGTCTTTTTAGCTGTTGCTCATCTAAACAAAGAACAAAGTTTTGAAACTGCTTTGCTTGCTGTACGAGTCATATTTGTATTCATTTGACAACACTTACTATAGTATTTTTTTGGTATGAATATTCTTTAGCTTCCAAAGCTGTGGATTGTCTTTTGGATTCACCATGGTCAACGGGGAAGGATAAGACTGAGATTTTATTTACAACAAGAGATTCCGTAGCGGACTATATGGATATGTAAGTTTGGCTGTTCTGATGTGGTTGATTTAAACTGTTAAAAGATCTTTTCAGTGTAACAGTTACATTTTTTTAAACATTATGGCAGGCAGATGAAAAGTAGAAGTATTGTTAACTTGAGCTAGATCTGTCTCACAATTGAACTTTTGGTTCGAAGGAATTGTACATTTGTGTTAGGATTATGGTCATCTCACTGTAATGAATGAAAAACAAATGTAGCTACCAACTTGTATATCTGTGTATGTACAAACACTGTCATGTGGCTATAATATCTACATCATCAAAAATAGATGGTATTATCATGATGATAGTTTTCTTCCTTTTATTTGTCATCAAAACGATGTATCATAAAAGTGTTATAGTGTATAGTTTCAGTCTAGTATGTTTCAGGCCTAGCATTTCTGTTACATTACTGGTTTCAGTCTAGTATGTTTCAGGCCTAGCATTTCTGTTACATTACTGGTTTCAGTCTAGTATGTTTCAGGCCTAGCATTTCTGTTACATTACTGGTTTCAGTCTAGTATGTTTCAGGTGTAGCATTTCTGTTACATTACTGGTTTCAGTCTAGTATGTTTCAGGCCTAGCATTTCTGATACATTACTGGTTTCAAGTCCAGCCTTTCATTGCATTAGGCCTTCTGTCCATAGAATGAGGTGAACTTTCTAGCTCTAATAAGTTATAGTAATATAGCAAGTTTGAAAGGAGAATATTTAATTTCATTAAATTTAACAGAATTTTACAGAACTGAAAATTGCATAATCTTAAGTTTTTGTAATTTTTACAAGTTCCTAAAGTTGGAGCATACAGAAATCATATAACTTCTGTGAGATTTGTTACTGCTAAAAACATCCTGTACTTTTATTCTCTGTTGAATATTTAAGACATCTTCTGGGGGTCATCTCTGCATGAAAATAAAGGATTGGTTTTTCAAGAAACTAAATTTCCTTTGTTGTATATGACACATTTTTAATCCACAAGATTCTATTTGGAAGAGTGAACTGACTACTTACTACCGAGTAGGAGTATTTGGAGTTAATAGTTAATAGAATTAATAATAATCCTCTAACTTAAACTAATAGAGCGTTGGCTTTGGGAAAGTTAAGTTCCAAGTCCATGTGTTATTTTCTTTGTTGACGTAATAAAACCCATGCCTGAGTTTAAGCAAAATTCACGTATTTATTATTGCTTTTTATGATATGTATTAAAGGATGCTGAGACACAAATTTTTTCATCGTGCTCGAAAGATTTTTATCCAAAAAGAAGGTAAAAAGAAAAAAAAGGAGAAAGATGAAGTAGGTACTGGTGAAGACAATAAAGAAAAGGAGGCAAAGAGAGAAAAAGACAGTGAAAAAGACCAAGATAAGGAAAGAGATAGCAAAAGTGAAAAAGAAGTGGAAGAGAAAAAGGTATTTTTGTTTCTAATTTTAGAGACCTATCTACTAGATATCATTTCATGAAGAGTTATTAATGATACATTTACACCTTGCCACAAATCTCGTGTATCTATTAAGTTTTGGAATCGGAGCATGGCTTATTGGCTTGCCTCCTATCTGTCCGACTCAATCTTGTGGACAGGATATCTCAAAATTAGATGGATGGATTTTTACCAAACTTGTACAACAGGTAATAAATACACAGTTCTGGATTAACTTTTGAAGGTCATGGATCAAAGGTCAAGTTTAAAAGGTCACTAGTAAGTAGAAAATCTTTCCTAATTTTAAGGATATATTTCAGTACAGGATGAATGGATATCAATCAAACTTGTATACATAGTTCTAGACCTGGTTAACTTTTGAAGGTCATGGATCAAAGGTCAAGTTTAAAAGGTCACTATTAAGTAGAAAATCTTTCCCAATTTTAAGGACATATTTCAGTACAGGATGAATGGATATCGATCAAACTTGTATACATAGTTCTAGACCTGGTTAACTTTTGAAGGTTGTGGGTCAAAGTTTCAAGGTCAATCAAATTGAGGGGGGAAGATCTAAACATACAGTATGACATTAGTGAGGGCATAGGTGTTTCAATAACACAATTTGCACTTGTGGTAGCTTGTTTTTAAGTAATAGTTATTTTTTTTTTCTTTTCTGCTAATTTTTATATTTTTAAAATACACAACTAGTCATGACTATCTCCCAGCAACACCCTGTAGACACGCTCATTGTTGACGGTGGTTAGTGCTTTTTTATTTTATAAAAAGATCTTATCCGTTTCCTTTAAAACTTTGTCATATTGTATAGAAAGGAGAAGAACGAGAAAAGAAAAGAAAGAAAATTAAACTGGACATGCACTTAGAACAAGTTTTTGTCGATGGAAACGAGGTATGTTGAAGACTTGGAATTAGATGTGTTGTTATATTTTGTTGCTTAATGAAGACAGAATAAACTGTTTAATAATAATTAATATCAATGAATAAACATGTTTACCCAAAATTAACTTGTTATAATCGCAAAGGCATTGTATATTAGATAATTAATTATTCAGGTGAGGGAGTTTTAGGTCTTAAGAAAATATTGAAATACTAATATAGGGTCTACCAGTCATTATAAATAAATAAGTCTGAAAGTTACCTAACCTTCTGAGCCCAGACATTTAAGATAATCATAAAACTTATTTATTTTAACACCCTAGAAAGTTACCCAATCTTCTGAGCCCAGACATTTAAGATAATCATACAACTTATTTATTGTAACATCCTAAAGATGTTGACATAAATCCTACTTGTTCAATGTATAAAGACCAACAGGTTTTAATTAACTGTTTCTGTGAGTGTTACTTCAAATCTGTTCTAAGGGAAAACTTGACAACTAGATCTTACTAGGACAATATGTTGCAACTGTTACTGTCCTTTCAAATGAAGATATTTGATGTTATTGATTTAGTGAATAAACTAATATGTTACGGTGTTGTGTTGTTTTATTGGATTGCTGCATTGATTCAAGCCGTGTTCGCGAGCTTCGTTAATTTATGACAGATCAAGATGAGTTTTTTATTATATTTTACACAAGAAAAGAAAAGGCTAGTTTTTTTTCTGTGGAAAGAAAACAGATCTATACCAGGGGCTGAAGTAAAAAATAATCTACTGTCTCTACAGGAATGAAATGTAATTTTCTGTTTATAGGCTTATGTTTGGATATATGATCCAATACCATTGAAAGTGTGGATAGCAGGAACACTTTTAGGTAAGCTAAAACATTTGATATAATTTATATTTTAATTTACATGCACTTATAGGTGTGTTATTTTTGTGTGTGTGAAAGGTTGGGCCTACAGTTGCACCTTTGCAATTGTTTGTAAACACAAAATTATCAGTCGATATAGAAAAGGTGTCTCTAGAGGCCTACGTATATTTCTGTCCACCTTATAAGTCAGTATGTACGGTTTCGATCTCCTTATCTAAGAAAGGAGGTTGATTTATTCAAAAGGGTTCAGAGGAGGGCTACTAGGAAGAGGCCCGGGATGGCCAGGTGGTTATGGCACTTGACTCGCTGTCTGAGAGTTGCGGGTTTGAATCCCCATCCCACCAAACATGCTCGCCCTTTCAGCCGTGAGGATGTTATAATGTGATGGTCAATCCCACTATTTGTTGGTAAAAGAGTAGCCCAAGAGTTGGCGGTTTCCCAAATTTAGCAGTGAAAGACTAGAGAGAAGGCAGCTAGTTATCACCACCCTGGCTAGCACAGATAGCCCTCGTGCAGCTTTGCATGAAATTCAAAACAAACAAACAATACTAAGAAGAATCCAGGGTTGGAAGGGTTGTCATGTAGGGGGATAAGTTATGATCTCTTAACTTGTTTACTTTTGACGAAAGAAAGTTAAGAGGTTATTTTATTGGAAGTTACAAGATTCTTGAAGCGATTAATGAAAGGATAAAGGTCTCTGATGTCTTTGTGTTGTATTCTAAAGATAATGGGATGAGAGGACACAAGTTTCAGATTTGATAAAGATAGCTAGATTCCACTTAATACAGTTTTGTTTCTCTAACAGGGTGATTGATGTGTGGAATGAGTTCATTTATAGAGGTCATGCAAATATGGAGGGCATATTTTTCTATCAGACTAACTAAAGCAGGGTCATACTTAATCCTAGAGGTGATACAGAGACCTGTACTATTTGGTATAAGTGGAGGCTTATCTTCATAGAATATTTTTATTTGGATTGATGAGTGATGAAAGTAATCAAAGGATTATGGGATACCATATTAAGATCTTGGTCTTTCTATAAAAGTGAAGTGTCAACAAAACTATCACTCTGATCTAATCCTTGACTTTGCAGCGTTTCTTGCAAATAAAGCTTATATACAGTTTCCCAGTGCACGAGCACTACATGGCAACAGTAGAAAGTTAACACCAGTAGCCGAATCTGGTGGCCATGACATAAGCTTACAACTTAGGCCTAGAATTTTGTAGAATAAAAAAAAAGCTTGGTATTTGAATGCACTAATAATACAGGAAGTAAGAGGTTGTATTATTAGAGTCAGCATTTGAACTTTTATTCAATAGTTCTCACAACTCAGAAGAAGCTTGACTTGAAAACGTTAATTAATTCTCTTAGGCTTGGAGAAGCTAAGCTTGAAAATATTTAAACAGTACCATACTGGGTAATCATTGGAATGGCTATTCAGGATGAAACCATACTGTGTTTTTTAAACTTTAAATAGTGTGTGCTTCAAATCTTTTATAATTATTTTGATAATTACACATTTAATTTTTGCATGAGTTTCTCATTTTATTTTTATGAAAGACCGTCAGTGCTTTTGACATGAACTCTAAGCTCTTTCATTACAAAGTAACAAAAAAACTTAAACTTCTTTAAAACAGCCTGGGAAAAATATTTTATACCAGCCCTCCAACGATACAGGGGGAGAAAGATTTCTAAAAAAATCTGACCAGAGTGCTGCACTTAATTTTGTATAGCCTTTAATATGTACTAGTATTATTCACAAAGTTCACAAATGAAATGAAAAAAATTGAGTAATGTTTTTTTCTTTATTTACAATCCAACATTCGTTACTTGTCTTCATAAAGTATAGACCTGCATGATTACAAGATTACCTACCTGAAGCCCAATCGTACGCAAAGAATCACCCGTTTCTCATATCCTAAAGCTGTTAACGGGAAAACTGGGCATCCAATTTAAATAATGTTAAAAAAACTTCTTTTAAATAAACTACTGACGTGTGAAACCAAAAGTTCTTTGCAATTCAAATTCGTGTTATTTTTTTTTACAAAACAGATCAATCAACAAAAATGTGTCGATGATATTATTGTGATAATAATATAGTTTGTTTCTTATATATTGTTTACTTTTTTTCAGTGCTAGGAGCCATTGCTCTTTGCCTGTTTCCCCTGTGGCCGAGGGTGGTTCGTCACTACATCTATTATTTAAGTATTGTAGCTGCTGGATTTCTTGTGGTCATCATCGGTTTAGCAGTTAGTAAGTAAAATGCAAAAAGTTTTGAAGTAAAATCGAACAAGAACCAAAAATTAAGTGTTAATCAGACAGTATTTTAGTTGTTTTTACATAATTTTACTACATCAGATAATCAGACAGTATTATTTTAGTTGTTTTTACATAATTTTTAGTTGTTTTTACGTAATTTTACTGCATCAGATAATCAGACAGTATTTTAGTTGTTTTTACATAATTTTACTACATCAGATAATCAGACAGTATTTTAGTTGTTTTTACATAATTTTACTATATCAAAAGTAAAACTTGTACAAGTTTGTGCATTTTTCAGCATAATAACCTGAATTATTTCTGTTTCTTTTGTCAACAAACACTTGTAACTAGGTGTTTGCAGTTTTGTTAAACATATAATATGTAAATTACATGTATTACAAAGCATATAGAATCGAATTGTGTCACTAAACATAGGTTTTCTCTGAAAATATTTTTGAACCATATTGGCGTGAAGACTATTGTAACCAGTTTTATTGTATTCTATTCTATATTAGACAAACATTGTATTTCTGTATTAAATTGTACTTTTTACAAGTCAGAAAAGTTTTTTATGAATATCAGATTGGTGTCATGTACAATTTTTTGTTTCAAAATTCTCATCAACTTTATTAACACTTTATCTGTATGCTGGGGCTGAAACAAATCTTTAGTAAGTTAGTTTAATCAACCAAAATGGTCACCGTGTTGTGTACTTGAGCAAGGCACTGATGGGCTACCAGCTGCAGGAAGTGGTAAGGCCAGTCAGGCCATGGCCTGACCACTTTTTCATGGCATGTATAGCTACAATTTATGTGTTAGAACTTGCTTCTTCTAATTCAATTTATTAAGGTGTGTGTAAGCAGCTATTGTAGTTAAAATGGCTCAAGATTGAATTTTATAGCACTAAAGTTTCGAAAATCTTCAGGGGAGCATGCCCCCAGACCCCCCTAAAAATGGCATGCTTTGTATGTCAGTAGTGTGCTTCTCACACATTGTTTAGCTGTGGCAATGGTCTGACCACTCAAAAGTTGCTTCCTACAGCAATGAGCCGTTAACTGAGGGGGGGTGGGTAACCTGCAATAGACTGGCATTACATCCTGGAATAGCGTGTCATCATTCTCATCCGCTTGTGCCAGTTAAGCTGGAGTTCAGTACATAATTATTTTGCTCCTTGTGATGTGTTTGTTGTAGTCAGAGCTCGATTGATAGAGACAAAATAATCTGTTATAAGTGTAGTAGCCTTTGGAAAGATGACAGCTACAAGATGCTTTAAGGTGATAAACTTGAATTTAGTTTAAAACATCTATACTTTGATTTTAAATTAATATAAATTCTCACTTTTATCATTTTATGTCATCTGTATTAATCAGTATTTAAAGTTCTGGAGGTATTTCATGTATTTCTTTAAGTGAATAAAACCTAAAAACAGCTACAAATGGGATTTAAAAGGAAACAAATGTGAATGTTTGAATCACTTGAACATCTATCAACTAATGATGTTGGGTCAACTCCGATTGAAACATTTTATTTTATATTCCCTTTTTAGCTGTTTTAAATTTTAGTCATTGTTGTAAAGAATGGCAGCATGAATTTGTTATTTCTTGAATTCCAAATCAAAACCAGATACTTCCCTTTTGTTCTTCCAGTACGTATGGTTGTCTTTGTTATCATCTGGTTACTGACTTTTGGAAAACATCATCTTTGGTTGTTACCAAATCTCACAGAAGATGTAGGATTCTTTGAATCGTTTTGGCCTCTTTATCAGTATGAGTATAAAGGTGAAAAACAAAAACAGGATGATTTAAAGAGCGTTGATAAAACAGAAGATAACGAACAAGCTACAAAAGAATCATTGGACGTAGACAGAAAGGAAGAATCTGTCCAGGAAAAGGGGAGCAGTCCCCCTGAAAATCAAGAAAACAGAGAATCAGACGAACACAGTGAAAACGATAACGGGGAAGTCTACAATTGTAGTAATCTTAATGGAGATAATGGTTTTGAAATAGTTGATCCTAAAACAGATCTAATTGATGAGGACAGCGTAAAAAATGAAGAAAGCTAGGCTTAGGGTGAGGAATAGTGAACCATATATAATACATTAATAAAATTTCAGTTTTAATAGAAATAATTGGATCTCTGTATTTTTCTGTTATCGTCAGTAGTATCTACAAATGCAGTATTGAAAAATTTTAAAGCACTTGCCCCGAGAAGACAAATTCAGTTTTCAAGCAGTATTCATATTTTTTTTTACTTCCGTTTTAAATACTCGGCATTACGAAGGACTCGATAAAGAGAATCTTATTTCTTTCAGTTTTGTTTCAGCTTTCTATCTACGATTTCTACTGTAACTTGTTGAAAGTGTCGTGGCATTTTGTTTTAAGAAAAACAATAAATTCCTTAAGAGCAATCTTCTCGTGTGTCGTTTCGATACTGTTGCTGGGTTTTGATATTTTACTAACTCAAACATTGAAAAAAGCTTATTAATTGTTAATTTTGTACTTTTCAAGGTTATTTAAAATTACGTTTCGGCGAACGAGAAAAACATTTATTTGACTGTTATTGCCACACTTGGATAAAGAACTCAAAGCTCGTTTAAGTAAAAAAAATGCAAGAATTGAGCTCAATTTTCATTATCTACAGATACGTATGGTAACTTAAAAGCATCGGTTCTATGTTATTGTATGTTTTCCACTTTTCTGGTGAATGAACAGTTTGTATGTTTAATTTTCACTTGTAGTAGCACTATTTTTTTATGCATCTATATATAGATATATATATGTATATTTATTGTTTTCATATACTGCACCATTTTACGTGTACTGAATAAATTTCCCCGAGAAATTAAACTGTAAACCAGTGGTTCTCAAACGTTTCAGGCTCGCATACCACTTTTTTGTTCAATTTTTTTAAAATGACAAACCCAGGCCTAATTTAAAAATATATATATATATATAAAACGCAAAAACAAAAATTAATATTTTTAACACTTACCCATTAATGCGAAGGATGCGATTGTTTTTTTTTTGGCACGAATAAAAGAATATGAGGTAAAATTTTTGTCAATTTTAAGGGAAGAAAATACTGGTGAGTCTACGTAAGTAGAGGGTGAGACTGTAAGTGAGGAGTGTAGTATGTATACGTACATGGAAAGTTCAGATAGGGTTTATTACAAATTTTATGATTTTTTAATATTAATCGTGTCGTGTACCACCGACATTAGCTCCACGTACTGCAGTTTGAGAATCCCTGGTCTAAACAACATATAACATTGGTTGTACTCTGAAGTTCAAACATCAGCTTTAGGATAAAACTAGTTCGCCACCTGGTGTCTGTTTCATACAACAGTGCAGAAAAGCTATATTAGATCTATAAAAGACACAGATTTAATGTACAGTATTTTGCATTGATATACAGAATTGTAAAAGAAAATTTCATGATGTGAAACACTAAACTTGTTATCAAAATTCTTTCGTTGTTTGTTAGTTACATCATAAATATATATATATGGTTTATCATGTGAAATGACATTAATAGTCACATGGATTTTATATATCAGTAAGCAAAGATAAGAAGACATCAACGGACGAAAAGAACATTTTATTGGCTTTATTTTAGAAAATATTTAAAACAAAATGTGAAATGTTACAGTTTTGAACGATTAGATGTTAGGCCGAGGTTGTAATTACTGGTGCTTTTCATAGATATTAACACACTATGCCTTTTAGAAAAAAAATATCATAGCTATCAACTGTTACGATATATATTGATTAAAATTTGGTGAAATGTTATAGCATTTTAACAAGGTTGTTTTTTTTTTTTCTTTCCCTCATTCTGGTTTATATTATACAATTAAATTAAATTATTACAATGGAAAAGTTATGTAGCCTTTTTATACATAATAAATATTATTTAAGCATTCAAGGTGAGTGGGTTTGTTGTGTTCTCCCGGAACATCAGTTTTCAGTCTGTGGTCTGCAGGTTTTTTTTGTCCACGTGGTCCATGAAAGAAAGTAGTATAGTGTCTAGATCCCACTGTGGACTGCCAAAACAGAAACATTCAGGTGGCATGCAAACAAATACTTGGAGTACCACTGTCCTAAGAGTATTTATTGCAAGATATTTAAGTTTTAGTTACTGCCAGTAACTGTTTTAGTTACTGACATGGAATGGGAACTAACAATTGATAGTAAATAATCAGACTCCTTTTTTTTTTGTAAACTGTTACACTTTGTTTAGATTAGAAATTTTACATCTACAGTTACTGGAAATGGGAACAGGAACTTTTCCTGTGATCTAAGCATCACATAAAATACAGTTGTTTTGATAATGTCTAGCTTTGATAAAGCAACAGTTTTGATAATGTCTAGCTTTGATAAGGCACCAGTTTGGATAATGTCTCCAGCTCTGATAAAGCACCAGTTTTGATAATGTCTAGCTTTGATAAAGCAACAGTTTGGATAATGTCTCTGTTTCATTAATAAAGTATGTATATTTGTGTTATTTTATATTATGGTTAGGTTCGAATCCCCATCATACCAAACATGCTCGCCCTTTCAGCAATGGGGGCGTTATAATGTGACGGTCAATCCCACTATTCGTTGGTAAAATAGTAGCCCAAGAGTTGGCGGTGGGTGGCGATGACTAGCTGCCTTCCCTCTAGTCTTACACGGCTAAATTAGGGACGGCTAGCGCAGATAGCCCTTGTGTAGCTTTGCCCGAAATCCATAACAAACAAACAATTATGATTGATCTTTTTATATTTCAAAATTCCCACAGAAAGAAATCATTGCACATCCCCATGCTCATACATGTAGGACTTAAAAACAACAAAAAACAATGCCCAACATCGGGACTTCTGCACCTCACACTACCTCAGCCAATAAGAAAAAATCCTTAGTATATACCAAAGCTTTGCGAACAGCAGAGTTTTCATTAGCCAAACAAAATGTTTTGCTTTTTAGTAAACATTTTTGTGCTTTGCAGTAAAATATCTTACCTATACTGTTGCTTTATCAGAGCTAGAGACATTATCCAAACTGGTGCTTTATCGAACTTGCACGAAACATTATTCAGATAACATCTTTTTATGTAATTTTATGTTTTTGTCTGTTACACACACGTAGGGTGAAATTGCTCATTTTCTATGTGAAATAAATAGAGGACCCCTGCAGTAATAAATAGGTTTAGTTGCTACACTGATGATACCTTTGTTCAAATGTTTTTGTATGAATGTCGTGTGTTATCTTAGGGACTCTGTAACCAATAAAGTCATGTGTAATTTGTTGCATGTATAGATAGTTTATAATCATTATTTGTCTAAAGGCCAATTGACCCTATTCACTATACTGGTATTAAATTAAACACCTACTTTAAGGATTATATGGTGACCAAAATTCAAGGACAAATTACTCGAAACTTTTAGGGTAAAAAACGAAACAAATTCGTTTGATGTTCTGAGAAACGGAGCAGACGCAGTACAGGTTAAGACAGTGACCGACTGTGGACCTGTTGGTTCACATGTTCGCGTCACATTACTGCAAAAAAAAAAAGTAACTGTCAAGTTCCACTGTTCAGTCAGACAAGAGTTGGCGGTGCGTGCTGTTAACTAGCTGCCTTCCCATTGATCAGTCTGTTTGAAATTAGGGAAAACTACCAGAGTAGATAGCCTCCTGAATAGCTTTGCGCTAAATTCAGGGGCATGAAAACAGCCCCCACCCCCCAAAAAAAAACAGTTATGGGGGGGGGACACGATAAACAGGGGCCTATAGCACTATAATAAATCGGATATGAGGGAAGCCCGATAGAAAAATTCGCAGGGGAGCCCACGCATTCTGCTATGTGCCTCTGACGAAAATTATAGCACAAACAAACCCATTCGTAGTGGAGTATCCAGTTAAGATTGATTATTTTTCGAATTTTTTTTATATTTATATATGATGTGGTGTTGCCCAATTTTTACAAATAATATCGCCCCCTAGCGGCACGTCTGCGGACTTACAACGCTAGAATCCGGGTTTCGATACCCGTGGTGGGCAGAGCACAGACAGCCCATCGTGTAGCTTTGTGCTTAATTACTACCAAGCTACAAACGTGGAACAGTCTTGTTCCGGTAGATTTTGAAAGATATATATGAGAAATAAAAAGTATTAAACAACGGAGAAGAGTGGCTGAAATTACTACGCCACTTGAGTGAATTTCCGCTGGTCTAAATGACACACGCGCGTAATTGCGATAAACAATGGGAGAGTTTAAGCTACACTTGTACGTTTTACGTAATGTCAACAGCTATTGGACGATAAACGCATTCTTCCTCTTCTCGAATAAGTTGAACTCGTAGTTCTTATCTTGACAGACTGCTGTACGATATGCTATTAGGTCATTTCCTCTGTTTTTCACTTGTTACCCAAACACGAACCTAAAGAGAACCAGGGTGCTTATCAGTGCATGTGTATGGGAAGGGAGTCTGCGCTTGGCTTTAATTTTTTTTTTCCAGGAACTATAAGTTTTGGTATACCACATTATAAATACATGTATATTTGTCCTTTACTTTAAGCTGTCTATAAACCAGAGATCTTGAAATTGAATGGATGTATACGGTAAGTGAAACAATTCTCTATATTTTAACATTTAAAATTAGGATTTTAAACACACTTATGGAAATGCTACGTTACATGTGTTTATTTATTGTGCTAATTAACGAATTCTAAAAATAAAATAAATATGGCATGGCACTGGTAAGAGTGCAAAGTGGGGAAAGCGTTTATACCATTTCTTTGCCAAAGGGATAAATACAGTAATATCAAGTGTTTATGGTTTTTACATTATATTAACTTTCTCCCTACCTTTCACTATTACTGAAACTATTTTATAAGTGTAACTGATGAAGGACTCAGGTAGTGACTGAAACTGGTGAAGGACTCGGGTAGAGACTGAAACTGGTGAAGGACTCAGGTAGAGACTGAAACTGGTGAAGTAATCAGCTAGAGACTGAAACTGGTGAAGGACTTAGATATAGACTGTAACTGGTGAAGGACTCAGGTAGAGACTGAAACTGGTGAAGGACTCAGGTAGAGACTGAAACTGGTGAAGAAATCAGCATAGAGACTGAAACTGGTGAAGGAATCAGTTAGAGACTGAAACTGATGAAGGAATCAGATAGAGACTAAAACTGGTGAAGGACTCAGTTAGAGACTGAAACTGGTGAAGGACTCAGGTAGAGACTGTAACTGGTGAAGGACTCAGGTAGAGACTAAAACTGGTGAAGGAATCAGCTAGATACTGAAACTGGTGAAGGACTCAGGTAGAGACTAAAACTGGTGAAGGAATCAGCTAGAGACTGAAACTGGTGAAGGACTTAGATATAGACTGAAACTGGTGAAGGACTCAGGTAGAGACTAAAACTGGTGAAGGAATCAGCTAGAGACTGAAACTGGTGAAGGACTTAGATATAGACTGAAACTGGTGAAGGACTTAGAGACAGTATACGAGCAGGAGAATACAATAATCGTTAGTTTCGTCTGATAACAAAGCTTCACAAAGCCCTCAATCTTCTCGTAACATCACTACTTCAATATAAAATTATTAATGTAGTATGAATTTTAAATATTAAAACATAAGCGTCTGTTAAGTTATTTCTTGGTTACTGAAGCTATAGAAAGTTTGTTTCATGGTTACCAAAGCTAAGGGAAAGCTGTTTCCTATACTGGTTTTCAGTTTTTTAGACCGCAAACGAATAATTAAATATAGAAAAAACTGACTTTATTACCGGATCTTCAATTACATAAATGTTTGGAGGAAATGTTCAAATCGTGTTATCTCCACATGCTAGAAAACACACTGCATCAAGGAGCTGTCACTGATGAAGCTAGTCAACAACACATATGAAGGTGCTGTCACTGATGAAGCTAGTCAACAACACATGGAGGTGCTGTCACTGATGAAGCTAGTCAACAACACATATGAAGGTGCTGTCACTGATGAAGCTATTCAACAACACATATGAAGGTGCTGTCACTGATGAAGCTAGTCAACAACACATGGAGGTGCTGTCACTGATGAAGCTAGTCAAGAACACATATGAAGGTGCTGTGACTGATGAAGCTATCTTCTCGCAGTTGTCCGTAATTTTGAACCGATAGACTAGAGAAAAAGCACTTATTAACAACTCTAGTTTGACCTGGTCAGTGGGACCTACAGTACACCTGAGACCTAAATGTGCGGAAGGCGAGTTTGCGGTAACGGGAAGCGAATGATGAATTGTCCTTCAGGTCCACTGTCTGGTCATACTGACTACTAGGTCACGCTCGGCTCGACATACGTACATATAACTTAAGGTGGACTTACTTAGGTTGTAGGGTTTATACGTTATAACTTATGTTTGTTTGTTTGTAGTTGAGCGCAAAGCCACCCAATGGGCTTTTTGTGCTGTGCCCACCATAGGCATCGAAACCCGTTTTTTTTTGTGTTATAAGCCTACAGACTTACCGCTACTGTATCCCCCCCACTGTGGGACATCGGTAAATTTATGGACTTACAACGCTAAAATCTGGGGTTCGACTTTCCGCGGCAGACATAGTAGATAGTGCAATGTGGCTTAGCTCTAAAAACATACTTATCGCTGTGCCACTAGGAGGCGCTACGTGATAGCAGTTTTAAGTTATTTCAAAAGGGAAGATTTTACTATTACACTTTGAATTAAAGTTTTTTTTTATATTAACGAACTGATTAACCGATAACGTATTCTATTCAACAAGTATTTGTATTCCGTATTTATAAGAATGTCCGTCGCTGTTCATAATTTTGAATTACTGACCAGAAAAACGGCAGCAACACCCTACCACCCACCATCCACTATAAGGGTTTGACTGTCTCTCTTATAACGCACTCACATTTGAAAGTGCGGGGGAACTATCTGTGGTATCGCACAGATTCAGATCCCTAGCTCTGACATCAAGAGTTCTACTATAGGGCCAACTCCCGCCCTTATTCCCACAGGAGAGAAAGAAAGAAAACAAAGGACCCAAAAGTTGTTTGTTTAATTAAGTAGCTATTGTTGCCACTCGAAGAATATCGAACAAACTAGTAAGATAATCCAAATCTCTTGTTATCTGAAGAATTCTCATGTCACAACAGCTAAAGATTACTCTAAGCGACTGTTAGAAGCGTTTAGACAAAACAGTGGTAATATTTAAGTACGAGTTCGTACCCGGTTAGTTGAAGATACTATTTTGTCACGTACTACATTGATGGCGAACAAAATTTGCTGAAAGATTTATTATCGGAGTGTACTAAATGGTACTGAGGCTTAGCATTGTCTGATGATTAAGGCGCTCGACTCGCAATCTGTGGATCGCGGATTTGAGCCCAGTCAAGGAACAAGCTCGCCCTTTCAGCTCTGGGGCGTTATAATGTGAAGGTCGTTCCACTATTCGTTGGTAAAGAATAGCCTAAGAGTTGACTGTAGGCCGGATTGGCTAGCTGGATTCCCTCTAGCCCCCACTTCAAAATTATGGGCGGCTAGTGCAGATAGTCCACGAGTAGCTTTACATGAAATTCAATAAATACAACGGTACCGAAGTAGCTGCCTTTTAATCGCAATAAGGGGCCGAACAATATATATTTTAATTAAGTGGTGTGAAAGCTTGCCAAAAGGAATCCCCTCTCCTCAGTTAATACATATATTTTTTTAATCTATGTACATATTGTGCATCTGTTCTTAATATGAAAAATCAGCGGGAGTCTTTAAGTTCCGCTCGCCTTAGGTATTCACTGAACTAGGTTATTCAGTTAGAGCATCACATATGTTTTCTCGTAGGGAACATGGCTATAACATAGCGCATACTGTAGAGAAAGCAAGTCAAGTGATGTCCCAAGGATATAATATATTTGTTTTGCAGTGAGAGCGACCGTTGGTCACGTGTGTGGCGCCTGTGCCACGAGAAGAATAGGGTTGTTGCTCTTCCATATAATGCCATGTTTTCTCACTCTGGAACAGGAAAGCTGATATGGAAATATGTTGGAGTAGAGACTATAGCATATATTGCTATGTACTTTTTAAACACATTCCAGTGAAGGTGCCAATTTTTTAAAACTTCTGAATGTGTTTGAATAAAGATTGTTTCACTGTGTGATCGATACTTTGTGTCCAGTCTCTTTCTTTGCTCGTTATCGCGTGGGTTTATCACTAAAAACCTCTTAGAAAGTGGACGTAACGATTTCAACCATATAAAACTATGGTTAGACTCGAATTATTGATTGATTTTGTAAGACTGCTACAGTGGTTGGCAGGGGTCATGGGCAGACTAACCATCAAAGCTTCGATGCAATCTCCGCGTTGGTCCGACAGTTTTAACCAAGGACTGGCCTGCCGGACTATTGATTTAAATCGAAAATCAAATTATTAGTTACTTTAGTATACAGTTCTGATTTTTAAGCTTTGCATACAATTGTTATTTAACTTTAATTAAGTCTTGAACACCCTCCCCCATCCCCACCCCCGAGAGGCTAGGGCCACTCAAATAACCAAATCATTGGACTGTTCTGATCTCCTTCTCTAGGTCCGCCCCATGGAGTGGTTGGCTTGATTAGCGAGGTCGTTTTCCAGCAGTGTTCTAGAGATGAGAGAAGTGCTGTATGTACAAAAATGTTACGAAACAAGAGACGTTAATCCACGCGATAACCACGTGACGTCAATACCCCTTCTGACGAAACAATAATACAAACGTCTAACTGAAAAAACAACAAAACAAAAACTGTGTCGAACACAATGTATAACGAACAAGGAAGACCTTGCTGGTTGCGAGGGGATTTACAGTGGTTGAGAGAGGATTGTACAATGGTTGGTATGTATGTATTTCTTTAAATGGAGGATTTATAATGGTTGTTGTGTGTGAAGTTTTTAATGGAAGATTGTACAATGCTTGTCATGTATTAATATTTTAAGGAAGGATTGTACAATGGTTGTCATATATTATTGTTTAAAGGGAGGATTTACAATGGTTGGTATGTATTATTGTTTAAAGGGAGGATTGTACAATGGTTGGTATGTGTGATTTTTTTAATGGAAGATTGTACGATGGTTGGTGTGTATGAATGTTTTTAGGGAGGATTTACAATGGTTGTTGTGTATTATTATTTTTAGCCCTTAAAGTATATTTTAGAGCTTAATCTTTGCTTTTGAGAAACCGTGTACAGCAACTGCTTCTTAACGAACTCACAGATCCTTCTATTACCAGTAGCTTCCACCCCTTAATAACCTAAATGGAACGTCGTTGTGGGAAGAGTAATATTGTTAGAAGCAGTTCAGTCGATGATCTGCTGAAGGAGTGTGGATTTAAACGTCGATATCTTTCCCGTCTGCGAAACGAGAAGAATCCAGAGTGTCCTGAAGACGTCTTGGTGGACATAGAAAAAACTCGAACTCTCAAGGAAGGATACTTGTATCTCTTGAAGAATGAGGGATGTTGGGTCAGGTAATTTTGAGGAAAGGGAATTTGTTTTTTTAATGTGTGTGAATTAAAAGTATCCCAAGGCTTGTAATAATATTTTTTACTTATAGGTAATTTTTGTCAGTCTTATTTGCACATTACTGTCAACAATACACTTATCAAGCAGCTTAGAAAGCTGAAATTTAAATGACTAGCTCCCGAACGGTTTTTGGAGGTAAACATCTTTAATTAGGAGCGAACTGGAAATAAACACAACATAAAAAAAAAGAAATTCTATTTAAACATATCTAAAATGGTTCGATAAAACATTGTTAACAAATTTTAAAGCACGCTAATTCCGTTTAAACAATTCTAAAATGGTTCGATAAAACATTGTTAACAAATTTTAAAGCACGCTAATTCCGTTTAAACAATTCTAAAATGGTTCGATAAAATATTGTTAACAAATTTTAAAGCACGCTAATTCCGTTTAAACATATCTAAAATGGTTCGATAAAACATTGTTAACAAATTTTAAAGCACACTAATTCCGTTTAAACAATTCTAAAATGGTTCGATATAACATTGTTAACAAATTTTAAAGCACGCTAATTCCGTTTAAACATATCTAAAATGGTTCGATAAAATATTGTTAACAAATTCAAAGCACGCTAATTCTGTTTAAACAATTCTAAAATAGTTCAATAAAATATTGTTAACAAAATTTAAAGCACGCTAATTCTGTTTAAACATATCTAAAATGGTTCGATAAAATATTGTTAACAAATTTTAAAGCACGCTAATTCCGTTTAAACAATTCTAAAATGGTTCGATATAACATTGTTAACAAATCTTAAAACACGCTAATTCCGCTTAAACATATCTAAAATGGTTCGATAAAATATTTCTAACATATTTTAAAGCGCGCTAATTCTGTTTCAACATACTTAAAACACAGAAAAGTAATAACCCAGTTCTGCTTTAGTTCTAAAACGTTATTGTGACAGAATTTTCAAATGTGGTCTCGTATCGTAAACGTCGACAAACTGAATCTTTACAAAGATGGTTTAATCATTCCGACAAGATCAACAACAAAAAATATTGAATAAGATTTGTTTCCCAGGCTCAAGTGGTTACAAAATATATAATTTATTTGTAATCGTTAATTTTGTTTCTTCTTAAGCGCAACGATACACAATGGGCTATCTGGGCTCTGTCAGCCGAGAGGAATCGAACCCAGAATTTTAGCATTAAAAGCCCTTAAACTTAACGTTGACCAGCCTGGGGATTAATTTTCAACTAAACTTTTGACACTTAGAAAACAACCATTACTTTGTCGGGTCCGTCAAATAAAATATCTGTTATTGTGTAGAATAAACGTTCTAATTAAATACTATTGTTGTGTAGAATGAAACTCCAATAAAATACTATTGTTGTGTAGAATGAAACTCCAATAAAATTCTATTGTTGTGTAGAATGAAACTCCAATAAAATACTATTGTTGTGTATAATGAAACTCCAATAAAATACTATTGTTGTGTAGAATGAAACTCCAATAAAATTACTATTGTTGTGTAGAATGAAACTCCAATAAAATACTATTGTTGTGTATATTCTACACAACAATAGTATTTTATTGGAGTTTCATTTGTCTTATCGGAACTTATACACAACAATGGAGGTCTTATCAGAACTTATATTATACACAACAATGGATGTCTTATCGGAACTTATACACAACAATGGATGTCTTATCGGAACTTATTCTACATAACAATAGTATTTTATTGGAACTTTTATTCTACATAACAATAGTATATTATTGGAATTTTTATTCCACATAACAATAGTATTTTATTGGAGTTTCATTCTACACAACAATAGTATTTAACTGGAACGTTTAGCTGGCTGTAGTGTTCCCCAGACCCTGAAGTAAACATTTTACATCTTAAATAAAGTTTGTTGGAAGCAATAATGTTTACAGTAATTCTAAAAATATGAGGTTCAGCAAGAAAGACAAAAAAAACTTATTGAAAGTGAAAAACCATACACAACAATGAGTGTCTTATCGGAACTTATACACAACAATGGAGGTCTTATCAGAACTTATATTATAGACAACAATGGATGTCTTATCGGAACTTATACACAACAATGGAGGTCTTATCAGAACTTATATTATACACAACAATGGGTGTCTTATCGGAACTTATACACAATAATGGAGGTCTTATCAGAACTTATATTATAGACAACAATGGGTGTCTTATCGGAACTTATATTATACACAACAATGGAGGTCTTATCAGAACTTATATTATAGACAACAATGGATATCTGGCTGTAACACATGAACAGTTCATCTCGATTGACACTGACAAACCACCCTAACTTCGTTGATCTGTACATACCTCTTTCAGTATACATAATGATCGAAGCATTTTCTCATTAGTGTTACTCTGGGGGGGAGAGACCTCCAAACGACAACCAGAAAGGTGAACTGTTTCTACGGGAACCGTGACGTTGTTGTCATAAAAGATTTCAAGCACTCATGTGTTACAGCCAGATACATTATTCATTTTACCTTCCAAACTACCAATTTATTTTTACACCGATCACTACCGGTGGGGTCCACATACTGCATTATTCTGAGCAGTTTTATTTTTATTTTTTTTGCCTATTGCAACTCTCAGAGTAATGGAATCGCTCTTTTGTTGTGTGTAAAATACATAAACGGTAGTTAGTTAGATCAAATACAGTATTGTTAGTATTTTTGTATATAGTTAGATCAAATATAGTATTAATAAATAAACTTAGTATTCCGAAAATTATTTAATGAACGTGCTTTATTGGGTTATACTAGTTTGGAGAATTCCACTCCTCATCAGTAACTCTGAACATAAGTTAACCAAAGAGAGATAAATTGGATATATATGATAGTGAAAAGTATTAAACATACCGTTGGCGTGAACGTGTTTTGTAGTCACTATGAGAAAACCTATACACAGTGACTACAAAACACGTTCTCTCTAACAAAATTGTAAATACAGTATTGTTAGTATTTTTGTTTATAGTTAGATCAAATACAGTATTGTTAGTATTTTTATAGTTAGATCAAATACAATATTGTTAGTATTTTTGTTTATACTTAGATCAGATACAGTATTGTTAGTATTTTTGTTTATACTTAGATCCGATACAGTATTGTTAGTATTATTTATAGTTAGATCAGATACAGTATTGTTAGTATTTTTATAGTTAGATCAAATACAGTATTGTTAGTATTTTTGTTTATAGTAAGATGAGATACAGTATTGTTAGTAGTTTTGTTTATACTTAGATCAAATACAGTATTATTAGTATTTTTGTTTATACTTAGATCAGATACAGTATTATTAGTATTTTTGTTTATACTTAGATCAAATACAGTATTTTAATGATAATGTATTTGATCTAAGTATAAACAAAAATACTAACAATACTGTATTTGATCTAAGTATAAACAAAAATACTAACAATACTGTATTTGATCTAAGTATAAACAAAAATACTAACAATACTGTATTTGATCTAAGTCTAAACAAAAATACTAACAATACTGTATTTGATCTAAGTATAAACAAAAATACTAACAATACTGTATTTGATCTAACTATAAAAAATACAAACAATACTGTATCTAATCTAACTATAAACAAAACTACTAACAATACTGTATTTGATCTAAGTATAAACAAAAATACTAACGAGCTCTGTAACTCAGAAAGTCCTGAACTTGGAAGCAATCTAATGCACGAATAGTTCAGAAAATGTATTTAAAACTGATCAATGTAGACTTCACCAGCAATTCATATAGATCTCACTAATAATAAATATAGATCCCACCAGAAATTTATATATACTCCACCAATAATTCACATAGAATCCACCAATGATTTATATAGATTCCACCAGAAATTCATATAGATTGCACCCAAAATTCAAGAGTTAAAACATATTTTATAACCAAAAAGTTAGAAGTAGCTATTAGTAGTATATTTTTTATATAAAATAATTCAGTTATTTTACTCAGTATAAAAGCTGACAAAAAAAAAGTGTTTGGACTTCTCACTTGCACCGTCACATTAAACGCAACATAATTAGAAAAAAAAATTCGAATGAGTATACTTTAAATTAAATATTTTGAAGAAAAAAAAAACACTTTTAAATGTTTTCAAAATAATTTTTGACACGTCAGCAGATGTATTAACTGCGACTAAAGATAGAAAGTTTGCAGAAAAACTTTATGACGTAATATTAAGGCCTTTTCTATCAACAACATTTCCAGACTTGCTTGAGAAAGCCAGTTTAAACGTTACTATATCAACATCTGACAGGATGTGGCGATATACAAGATGTGAGTGTTTTTGTTGTTGTTGTTTTTTTTTATGTGAAAATAAATAAAACAAACATCGCGATTTATATGCACGAAATCTAAAGTAGTCAGGACTAAGAGTCCGAAACTATATATGTTTACGTTCGAAACAAAATATTGAATTGGGTGCTATAAATATCCTTATAATATGCATTGGTAAAGAAATTATTTAAATTTTGTCTTTTTTTAGAAGTCACCGAATGCTTGGGGCGCTAGAGTTGATTTCTCTCTTTGGTACAAGCAAAGAAACACATGGATATAGATGAAAGCGCCTGAGCTGGAGGTCTAGTTGACTGGTTGATATTTTTAGATATTCATGTTATTCGTTAGGCCCGCCTTTCGAGCATTTCATTCTCGTGTGCTGATATTTTGAGCTAAATCTCGAGCCAAATGACACGAGCTACTTGATGGTTTTATATGTTATAGCCGATAAATCGTCGCCCACCCGCCTTATTCCGACTAATATAATATGTAAAAACCTCAATACTTCTGCAACCAGTAACCGAAAACCAACGTTTGCTTTTTTTGCATGGGTTACTTGTCTTTGTTTTAGAACCCTTTAGAAGCACAAACCCTGCTTTCCTACACATATAAAACGCTCAGTTCTTCGACAAAGGATGTATTATTGTATGAGAGAAATGGACTCCAGCATGACTCTATAATGTGTGTGTGAGATATACACACAAAACAGTGGGTAAATTATGGTACCAGAGAAGAAAATAAAAAACACGACACTCGATCTATATACAGGAAAACTCTAACCGGCTTAGAACACCCGTTGACTTTTGATAAAGGTAAGGACGGACCGTTTTTTGATTTTATTTCATTTAGGGGAAAGGTATTAGCGGCCGTATTACTTTGTAAAGAATGGAGGGGGTTCTACATATTTTGTAACTTTT